TCAGATATTTTATCAATTCAAAGACAAACACAAATCTCGATGAATGTTCCGAAGCGAAATTTAAATTCTCCGTGCGTACACATTCGTATTTTTTCTACATTATCTGTAAGGAAACCAATTACTCGTAACTTTCATTACTGAAATAAAAAAGGTTTGCATCGGAACGCTGCAATAATTTTCCCTCTTGCAATTCGACGTGGTAACTAATGAACAATGGTGCTAATGGGTCAGATATTTTTATAATTAATCTCCTCAGTTCTTTGTTAGGAGACTCCTTTTAATATTCTCTCTCGAGTGTGCTAGCAGTGTAAATGGCAAAGAGCGTAAAATAATTCCGTCAGATATTTTATCAATTCAAAGACAAACACAAATCTCGATGAATGTTCCGAAGCGAAATTTAAATTCTCCGTGCGTACACACTCGTATTTTTTCTACATTATCTGTAAGGAAACCAATTACTCGTAACTTTCATTACTGAAATAAAAAAGGTTTGCATAAGAACGCTGCAATAATTTTTCCCTCTTGCAATTCGACGTGGAAACTATGAACAGTGGTACTAATGGGTTAGGTATTCTTATAATTAATCTCCTCAGTTCTTTGTAAGGAGAGTCATTGTAATATTCTCTTTCGAGTGTGCAAGCAGTGTAAATGGCAAAGAGCGTACAATAATTCCATCAGATCTTTTATCAATTCAAAGACAAACAAAAATTTCGATGAATGTTCCGAAGCGAAATTTGAATTCTTCGTGCGTACACATTTGTACTTCTTCTACATTATCTGTAAGGAAACCAATTACTCGTAACTTTCATTACTGAAATAAAAAAGGTTTGCATAGGAACGCTGCAATAATTTTTCCCTCTTGCAATTCGACGTGGAAACTATGAACAGTGGTACTGGGTCAGGTATTCTTATTATTAACCTCCTCAGTTCTTTGTCAGGAGACTCCTTTTAATATTCTCTCTCGAGTGTGCAAGCAGTGTAAATAGCTGAGCGCGTACAATAATTCCATCAGATCTTTTATCAATTCAAAGACAAACAAAAATCTCGATGAATGTTCCGAAGCGAATTTTAAATCCTTCGTGCTTACACATTTGTATTTTTTCTACATTATCTGTAAGAAACCAATTACTCATAACTTTCATTACTGAAATAGAAAAGGTTTGCTCCGGAACACAGTAATGATGTTTCCCTCTTGCAGTTCGACGTGAAAACTAATGAACGTGACGATAAGTTGGACATATTTCTGTCAAACGGAACTATGTGATTCAAGACATGAGCCCTGAGACCCATAATAATATATGCGTAACACGGCTCACATCATAATGCACACAGTTCCGTTCGGCAGAAATGCACCCAGTTAAAGGAACGCCTTGGAGACACTTTGGAGTTCAATGACATTATAAAATGGAAGGAAATATACATTCTATTACTATGAATGAAGAGAGCAAAAATGGGTGTACTGCAAGAACCCTAAGATTACCGATCATTACACACTGGCATACCTATGTTCAAAATAGTGCCTCTAATCATTTTAAATTCATCCTTCCAAATTGTATCCACGATTACTATACAGTATTAATTTATTATTCGAACTGCAAGCAGATCTATCGTTCATTTTCATTGAGCCGACCGTCTGCATTTGTTATATTCTTGCGAATATCTATATCGACGGTGTAAGTCGGCAATCACTTAACTCGGTTTGCGACGTCGTAGACTTCCTGTCATACTTTATTTTTCAAACGGAAAACCACTCAACGGCAATTCTTCATAACTGCCGTGATTTTTCCTCTCTGTGAGGAAAATTCGGCATAAACTTCAACGAAAGATGTCGATTTGTTCTCCTTTAAAAAAATAGCACAGAGGCGGAGATTTTCAGACACCGCAAACGAGTTATGTGATTGCCGACTTACACCGTCGATATGTAGTTTACCGAATACTTTTTTTTGGTCGGTGAAGTCCTTTAGAAATAATGCAGGGTGCAGAGTCATACGCTGTGTAACTGTGAGTGTGAATGATATGAATTATAGCACACACTAATTGCGTGAAGTGTAAAATTTATCCAAAAGCAAAGTATTCACGATAATGACTAAAAATCAAATTTATTAGATTTCATTTCTCGGACAGCGCAGCCTCCCTTCGCATTTTCGCGCGGAGACCGTAGAATTCGAAACAGACTGTTTAACTCCTGTATACTTACCCGATAGAAGCCACAAAGTAAACCAATCCACGTTGGCGGTGAGCCAGCCACGCATTTTTTACCCCTGTTCCGGTTCTGCTTTTCTCGCAGATGAAGTGGTGCAATTTTAGTCAAGGAGACTTTATACCTTCCTCTTTAGTGGTGTCTGACCGCAGCAACGAAGAGTTACCCCCACGATTGCCAAATCTGGGGTAGTTTCTGGCTAATAAAAGATGTTTTTCGAAAGCGGTTATAGGTACATGGTTCAGCATCCAATCTACACTGATATAAGTTTCAGGGTGAGATTCGGAGTTCATTTAACTCCGGAGCCAGGTTCTGTTGTCCAATGTGAAAACGTCGTATCTCCATTGAACATTTTTAAACAATTTTCCTTTGGAAAAGGCTGTTTTACAAGGAAACCAACGAATATTCATCCTTCATTTTTGTGAGCCAACTCCGGCATACCTTTAGGAAATCGCACTGAAAAAATGAAGCCCTGTGGTCATTGAGTTTTCTTGTGTAACAGAACAGCATGTGTGGAAGAAAAACATAAAATTTGGAATATAGTTGTGGCGTTTTTGCTGTGGAGGGCAGGTTTGTGTCAATTCCCGATCATACAGAGTGTTTCAAAAGTCGAGGCCCCACTTTCGTAACTTTTTAACAAATTGAGATGGGGACTTGAAATTTTGTGAATGCTCCTACACTGAGAAAAAACTATGGTTTATAAACCTATTAGAGGTAAATATGGAACACCTATAATAGTCGTAATAAATAAACTAATGATTCTCGGTCTGTGAACCATACTAAGGTCTCTGTACCTAATTAAGGTACCCCGTACCATAACTAAGGTATATGTGCTATTATTATATGTAGAGGTACTACTATTAGTGGTGTTCCATATTTACCTCTAATAGGTTTATAAACCATAGTTTTTTCTCAGTGTAGGTCGAAGGAAATGACTTTGAAATGAGAGCCCCCGAAATTTTGTATAGGGACCACTCTGAAAAGGGGTAAAAAGCCAAGGGTTTACAAGGGTGGTGCGGAACTTCTGAATCATACTGTATACAGGATGAAAAAGGGCGCTTTTTCATCCCTTGAAACAGTGCTTTTCAGCGGAATCCGGGCCTGGCGCATCCACTCCAGCGACGCGGTGCTCGAATGAGACGGGCACCAACACACTCGGGAAAAATGCTTACAGAGGACGTCACGCACCCCTTTCGACTTGTTATCACCCACTCCCCCCGCCCTCCGGAAGGAACTCGCAAGTCCTCGTCGAAAGATATTCTGCGTTCACGCCGACACGCATGGTCACTGAGAAAAAACTATGGCTTATAAACCTATTAGAGGTAAATATGGAACACCACTAATAGTAGTACCTCTACATATAATAATAGCACATATACCTTAGTTATGGTACGGGGTACCTTAATTAGGTACAGAGACCTTAGTATGGTTCACAGACCGAGAATCATTAGTTTATTTACGACTATTATAGGTGTTCCATATTTACCTCTAATAGGTTTATAAACCATAGTTTTTTCTCAGTGTGGATAAGCGATGGATAAGCAGCGATTTTGAAACCCGCACCTCGCTCCATCAACGCAACCCGCAACGCATGAATGATTATACTGCCGTGGTAAGGAAAAACGCCGTATGAACATTCGAGAGTTGCCAAATTTCCTCCGATAAAACGTTTATTTTGGACGAAAGTTATGCATATTTTTCCTCGATATTGTCCGATATTTAAGATTAAAGTCTGCGAATAATATCGTCTGAAAAGTTGAAACAAAAATATTCACATTTTTCCTAGTAAATTAGTATTCTAGCAAAGGAAATCTGGCAACATCCGAAGATTCATACGGCGTTTTTCTCTGGCACGGCAGTATAGTGTGCGATCTCCTCGTCTCGCGAACGAAAAGCGTGTCCGTAGCCTTGCCGAAGTTTCCTTGCAGGCTTTTAAATCGAAGTGCAGTGATACTACAGGAAATATGCGAATTAAAACAGCATTATCAGATAAGATTCACACCTCACGATGCGTTTAGTAAAGGCCTCGCGTAAGCGAACATGAGTGTGTTCGATCAGTCATTATTTTTCACACTGGAAAAAAACAGCTTAGATCTAGAGTCACGACTCTTAAATGGACTGAGTTAAGCAGAAAGGAACCAACCCACATTTTGGAAAAAATTGAGTTATGAGTGGTTTTGAACTTAACCACTGCTCTACTATTTATCGCCGAAAATTCAAAGTTTTTGTTGGAGCAAATTTTGCAGAAATTGAACTTGAAGTCTATCTTTTACATTGAGTCTTATGCAGGAGCCAAACTTTAAACCTCTTTATCTCGGTTCGATCGCGATGTGCCTTGGTTCGTTTCTGTTTAACTCCGATTAAATACATTGACGAGGGAAAATACTCTTGATTCAATCGGACTTTTTGCTAGAATCAAGAAGAAATCCGCCTAAATCAAGAGGCTTGGCTCTTTGATTCAAGGAAAATTCGGATTGAATCAAGAGTATTTTTTCCTCTCAATATTATTAAGAGTCTGGACTCTAGATCCAAGCGACTTTTTTTCAAGTGCAGTTTTGTATATCCTGTATTTTTTAAATATCCGGAATTCTCAAATACCAAGGATTACAACTGGAAATCTTGTAAGTGGATTTGTGACCACCAACTGACGGTGGAAGATGGATTCCAAGATAGTACACTTTTTTCCTGGACCCAGTCAATGTTTTTCGATAATTTTTAATTCATTCTCTTTTTAAAAATTTAAAGTTACTGAATAATTCCTAACCAGTTTGTTTTAATTTACTATTTTGTTTTATTACAGTTCACGACGTGGGTGGATGCTGTTATCTTCGTATTCAGTCTGGAGAACGAGGCCAGTTTCAACGCCGTTTACAATTACTTCATGAAAATGACGCAGTTCAGGAATTCGGCAGAAATACCCTTCATCCTAGTCGGAACTCAAGGTGAGTTAGTGGTTAAATTCATTTTGAAAGGATCCATTGAGGAATCTAAATATTAATTTAAAGTCACTCAGTTCTAGAATCAGCGTGTGGATACAGTCGTATCTCGTTGTAACGTTTTCGAAGGATAATTATGTGAACGTATCTATGCCGAAAGGAACATGTCGTCATCTTCCAGGCAAAGTATCACAAGCGCCATGCGACGTTTAAAAATTTCTGCCGCCATTATATTTTTATACAGAGAAATTGTTCAACGAAGCTGTCCGAAAATTACACCGAATTTTCTTTGTGCTGCCGATAAAATTTAGTGAAATCTTCGTACAGATTCAACCAGCAATTTCTCAGTAAAAAAATAAAATGGCGGCGGAAATTTTTAAACGTCGCATAGCGCTTGTGATACTTTGCCTGGAAGGTGACGATGTCTCGTGCAATCCCTATGCACATAGTTCTTTTTAGCATGAATACGTCCATATATTGAACGTTGTTTCCGGAAAACGTTTTTTCGAGCAACAAGTTAACGAGAAATCGCCGTTAGTGACTTGAAAAAATGAACATTGTTTCGAGGAAAACGTTATTTCGAGAAACATCATAACGATAGAGGCGATTGTAGTTCCTTTTTCTCGTAATTGAACGTCCTAATTCGAAAAGTGCTCGTCGAGTCAGTATTTTTTCGAAACAGCTTATTAAGTTCTTGAGTCGTCAAATTGCTTATCTTCAGCTGCTTATCAAGCTGCGTATCATTACGTCTCTCTTAGATTTGCAAAAGGAAGAGGCATATTTCTAGAAACCGAGAGAGAGAAAGTTGAAATCTAGGCAAGTCCTGGAAAGTCCTCTCAACTGAGGCTGAAAAGTATTGGCCCTTATTGGGACGTATTTATGGTAAAAGGAACTATGTGCATAGGTTTTGCGTGAGACACAGTTCCTTTTAGCATAAATACGTTCATTTTGTCAGTTAGGCCAGAGACCTTCCCATGTGTAGAAATACGCACTCACATAACCGTATATACCGTGGTAAAGGTACCAACGGACCTTGGTAAAAAGCCGAGAATTTTTTTTCAGTGTAAGATATGACACGATACCTGCAACGTCGCAAACCTGGTCTGGTAGTTCCACCATCGATATGTAACAGTACTTGTCCCATTATTTCTCATCAGCTCATAATTAAGTCAAGAGGGATTCTTCCGTCCCGCTTCCCCTCATGATTTGTGTCCAAAAACGCGGCGTCAAATTGCGCCCGTAAGAAAGAAGGGGTTGAAAGGTCAGATTTACCGGATTCCCCTCAATGAGAAAGCTCACCGCAACCCCTCCCGAGAAGTTGCACTTCGAGACGACCCAGCAATAAAAACTGGAGCGAGGGACCGGAAAATAATAAATCCGCCGTGGAGACAAGATAATATTCCCTGCGTACAGGTACTCATGTGTTACCTGAGAGGCGACAGGGATGCACATTAATATCATTCCTTAAAGTTTTCACAGAGTTTTCCTCGCACAGAGAAGAAAAATCACGAAAAATTACAAGAATTGACGTCGAGTATTTTTCCATCGAAAAAGTAAGGCATGACACGATATCTGCAACGTCGCAAACCGAGATACGTGGCCTGGTAGTTTCACCATCGATATGTAACAGTACTTGTCCCATTATTTCTCATCGGCTCATAATTAAGTCAAGAGGGATCCTTCCGTCCCGCTTCCCCTCATGATTTGTGTCCAAAAATGCGGCGTCAAATTGCGTCCGAAAGAAAGAAGGGGTTGAAAGGTCAGATTTACCGGA